TCCCTAGTCTCTGTTTTCCAGAAGCTGGGAATGGGTGACAGGGGATGGATCACTTGATCATTACCTGTTTTGTTCATTCCCTCTGGGACACCTGGCATTGGCCATTGTCAGAAGACAGGACGCTGGGCTAGATGGACCTTTGGTCTGACCCAGTCTGGCCGCTCTTACGTTCTTATGTCAGTGCAGCATCTCTCAAACTGGGGTCCGCAGGCCCTGCTGTTTAGGAACTGAGTCCTTTATCTTTTATGCAGAGACAAGGACTCTTTTGTGTCCGGACTTGGATGAAAGTTCTTGTCACTGATGTCGTACTGTGTTTTCTAGCACCAGAGTAAGGAGAAGTGGAAAAGTGATAATAGGAGGTGTTTTGTGGGATTCCCAACCTTTAAGGGTGACCGGGATTGCCACGGCAAAGCTCCTGCTGTGGCCCCTGTTCCAAAGGTAAACACACCACCACAGGAAGTGGCCGATTCTCCATCACTCCAAATCTTCATGTCAAGACTTGATGACTTTCTGGAGGATGATTCAGTCCGGCACAAGCTATTCAGCTCAATCCCACAGTAATTGGATGAGATTCTTTGGCTTCTTACACATGAGGTCAGACTAGATGAATTTATAATCCCTTCTTGCCATAAAACCTATGACTCTATAATCAATCTGAGGAAGGACTAAGGGAACATGCTACTGTTTGTGTTGTGTTCCAGAGATGGGAATCCCAGCATTTATCCGCATGCCCTCCGGCTGTGCCCCTGGGTCAGCTGTAGCTGTAATCGGATGGTGGAGGGAGCAGTTGGAGCAGCCTGGCAGAGCTGTGACTGTGGTATGCAGAGAGTGCAGGTGACCCCTGAGGGACCGAGTCTGCCCCATGTCAGTGCTCAGTGTTGTAGGCTGTGTCACTAAAGGTGCAGAAGGGTGCGTTCTTATCAGCGCTCTGGTGGGATACACGCTAGGGGTCTCCAGGGCTCAGTAAGGGGTACGTGAAGGCGACGAGGCAGAAGGAATTCTCGGGGCGACGGTAAAGAGAGGGTAACATTTTACAAGTCGGAGATGGTTTGTGAGAAGTAGGCTCCGTGTTTGAGCATAAGCAGCTTCTGTTTGCAAGGATGGAGCTAAACCCAAGTTTTGCCTTAGTAGAAAGATGATGTTAGAATTTGTGCTGTTCTGCTCCTGGGCTCTGTTCCCGCAGTGTTGTGTAGCAGGGGAGGGCAGAAAGCTGGTGTGTGTGTCACTGGCATGTCGGGGTGATGCTGAAACAGGGCAGAGTTAAGGTTACATTGTGAGGTGACGTGAACCTTAACTCTGCATTTCCCCTTCTAAGAACTGAGAGGATGGGAATCCTTACCCAGCGAGGTCACATTCTCGTAATTCTCCTGCATGACGTCTCCATAGAGGGCTCTCTGAGTGGAGTCCAGCAGAGCCCACTCTTCCTCAGTGAAATACACAGCCACCTCCTCGAAGGTCACCAGCCCCTGAAAGAGCAAGAGCCCCCCACTCAGTACCTGCTGCCCCACTCACAGCCCCACTCTTCGTGAGGCAGCAAGGCCAATTAATTAGAAGCTCTGGGAGACCCAGAGTCCCACCCTCTTCAGAGCAGCCAGGAGGCATCAGGGTGAGGGGAGAAAGCGAGAGCCCTTCACCCCTCCCAGCAGAGAGAGGGGACAGGGGCCCTCACATTCATCATACACCTACTAGCCATAGGCTGATACAGGAGATGGAGCCCCCAGCAGGAACCAGGGACAGCTCCCTAGTAGGAATCAGAACACCCTCCCCATTGCCAGCAGCTGGATGGGAGGGGATGGGGTGTCTCATTGGTGCCTCCTTCTTATCTCCGCGTACTAGGTTCGTGCTCCAGCACTGAGAATCTGATTGTTTTTCCCGGCCCCGGGTCAGGGGGTTGTTTTCTGTTCCACAAATAAGGAATCTCCACCATAACCCCCGGGGGTCTGTTCCTATATTCTAGTCCCCAAGTAAAACAAGTCCCAGCAGGTTTGTCACCCCCTGATCCCCTCCCTTTCTCCAGCCTGTGGACTTCCTACCCCACCTCCAGACTGAACCCCGCAGAAGCCCCAAACACCTCTGTGTTTGCTGTCCCTCTCCCTCCAGCAGGAAAACACCAACAACTCCCTTGTGGTCCCTACCTGAGCCTCCTCTTCCGCAGCCATTTCCCTTCCCCTTCTCCTGGGAGGATGAGACAATCTGGCACTAAACGTGGGTGTTATTCTACAGCCTGTCGGGGTGAGAGGGAGAACAGGTGAGAGTTCAGAAGGCACCTTAGTTCATGTCACATCTTGATTCCCCCTAGCACTTTCCCTGGGAAAATAATCAGTCATTCTATTATTTTATTACAGAACATACCCAACCCTTCCCACCAGGGCTAAACCCACTGAGACCTTTTACAACCCTGACATGGTCCCTGAGGGCAGCACATTTCTCCTGGAGTGCAGGGCAGGTATAGGCATAGGCAGGTATAGGACGAGAACAGCCAGACTGGGTCAGACCAAAGGTCCATCTAGCCCAATATCCTGTCTGCCAACAGTGGCCAATGCCAGGTGCCCCAGAGGGAATGAACAGAACAGGGAATCATCCCACATCGCCCATTCCCAGCTTCTGGCAAACAGGCTAGAGACACTTCAGAGCATGGTTTTGCATTCCTCCCTGTCCTGGCTAATAGCCATTGATGGACCTATCCACCATGAATGTATCTAGTTCTTTTTTGAACCCTGCTATAGTCTTGGCCTTCACAACATCCCCTGGCAAGGAGTTCCACAGGTTGACTGTGAGTTGTGTGAAGAAACACTTCCTTTTGTTTGTTTTAAAGTCTGCCCGGTGCTGATGCAGTAAATGATATGAAATTTGCCAGTGATGCTAAGTTGGGAGTCATCGTCAAAACAGAGGCGGATCAGAACATTATGCAGATCTGGATGGCCTCGAAGACTGGAATTTCATCCAGAAACGGGATGAAATTCAATAGTACAAAGGGCAAGGTCATGCACATAGTGTCTAATCGTAAGAATTTCTGCTACATGCTGGGCCAGGCTCATGAGTTGGAAGTGACAGAGAAGGAAAGAGACCTGGGTGTGTTGGTTGATCACAGAGTGACCACGAGCCACCAGTGTGATGCAGTTGTGCAAAAGACAAATGTTTCTATTTCCAGGAGAGACAGAGAAGCATGAAAGGCTCTACACAAGGCACTGGTAAGACCTCCTTTGAAATGCCTTTACACAAGGCAGGTCACCCACGTTCAAGAAAGATGAATTTAAACTGGAACATGGGCAGAGAAGGGCTATGAGGATGAGCAGGGGAATGGAGAGCCTGTCTTATGAGAGGAGACTGGAAGATCTGGGCTTCTTTTCTCTAGCAAAAAGAAACCTGAGGAGGCCTATGATTGCGCTCTGTAAATCATAAAATCAAAGAACTGGAAGGGACCTCGAGAGGTCGTCTAGTCCAGTCCCCTGCACTCAAGGCAGGACGAAGTATTATCTAGACCATCTCTGACAGGTGTTTGTCCAGCCTGCTCTTAAAAATCCCCAATGATGGAGATTCCACAACCTCCCTAGGCAATTTATTCCAGTGCTTAACCACACTGACAGTTAGGAAGTTTTTCCTAATGTCGGACCTAAACCTCCCTTTCTGCAATTTAAGCCCATTGCTTCTTGTCCCATCCTCAGAGGTTAAGAAGAACAATTTTTCTCCCTCCTCCTTATAACAACCTTTTATGTACTTGAAAATTGTGATCATGTCCCCTCTCAGGCTTCTCTTTTCCAGACTAAACAAATCCAGTTATTTCAATCTTCCCTCATAGGTCATGTTTTCTAGACCTTTAATCATTTTTGTTGCTCTTCTCTGGACTCTCTCCAATTTGTCCACATCTTTCCAAAAACGTGGCGGCCAGAACTGGACACATTGCTCCAGTTGAGGCCTAATCAGCGCAGAGTAGAGCAGAAGAATTCTATGATTCTATGAGTTGGCTTCTTAAATCCCTTCGTGCTGTTTCACATCTGATACTCCTTGATGAAACCTAGGAGCCTTGTCTTATAACAGGCTTATTCAAAGGGATACAAGCTACAAACGTGAGATCTTGGAATAAAAATACTGTAATTATAAATAATAATTAATAATAAATAGTGTGTAATAAGCATGTCATAACAACAAATTTTATAGTTCCAAGATCACTGCTTTTATAAGCTATACTCAGGTAAAGGAGAAAACCCCTGGAAATATTCATTTTTAGGAGGGGGTTCGTGAGACTTGACATTTTAGTGAAAGGGGTTCACAGGTTGTTAAAGTTTGGGAACCACTGCCCGAGGAGGTATTTCTAGAACACTCAAAATTTCCAGGAAATTAGCTTAATATTAGTTTAAAATGTCCATCTCTTAAATTCTAAGGAGGGCAATGCTTTTGTTGTAGGGCATAATCCACTGTAAACGTCCTGCAAAATTTAATTGATACAGTGTTTTCTTCCACATGGAAATGACAAAACTTTGTCCCATCAGTCACCACAATTGGTATAATCCCAAAACTAAACCCTGAAAATTTTATTAGAGAGGCTGTTATCTTGAACTTTACTTTCAGTTTGACTTATTCAAAAAATCTCCCCAGGCCTTGCTAATTAAACAGCAAAAATTAATGTTAGATTAAAAAAAACAACAATGAAATCCTGTTTAATTTTCATACAATACCAGTTCAACAATCAAAAAAATCCTCTCCCAAAGGCGGCCCACAATTTCTCACAAGTGAAAAACTTAACAAAATTGCTAATAGTTCAATCTTACAAAAAGAATTTTAAAAAAATTCAAAAGTAATTGTTTTCCAAAACAGAGCTGAATTGTGTGTGTGAAAAAGAGACAGAGAAAAAGGCATAACTACTTATGTAAATACTGTTTTAATGTTTAGTTCAACCTTAAAAAAGCATGTAAAAACCAACAAATATCTGCTAAAACACGTAAAAGTGCTGGGGGAAAAGTCAATGATCCAAAAAAGGGTGAGGTATTCTGGCTTTAAAATTTGCTTAGGGTCTAAGACCCCCAAGTACATAAAGTGCAAACTCTAATTAATGTAAACCCCCACTCCAATGTGTGAGAAATCTGTAGTTTTCTGGGGATCTACAGTTCCTGCAGGGAATTCATCCCAGCATATGCAAAAAATTACCAGACCTCTCCCTAAATTACTACAAGTACGTCAGGATTGGGACTGGGGACCTGCACAAAAATCAGGCCATACAACAATTAAAAACAAGATTAACTCAAATCCTTTGCTTAATTTACCCTCAAAAAGGCAAAAAAATTAATTTAAAAATTGCATGGATAGAACACAAAAAATAAACTCAAAACCCCCAAGTTGCTGCTTATGTAAACAAACAATTAAGTACTGTTAAAACACCCCTCAAACTATAAAAAGTACTAGTAACAATTTAAGGTCTATGACATTTCAATGACATCATTAATTAAGATGTCATTATTCAAGCCAACCACCATTCTTTCAAAATCTAAACAAAACAAAAAAAATCTAAACCTATAATCTAAACCAAAAATCTAAACAAATAAAAAACAAGTAAAGTGTCAAGTGCCAATGTAACCTCTTAAATTCCAGCAATAAAATAAAAAGTAAAAAATAAGTGTTAAAAATAAACATTCTTAAAAGCAAAAAAATTAACCCAACTACATCAATGTCAGGACACTAATCTTGAGAAAATAATTAACGAAAAAGTCATCATTTGTCCACAAAAGTTGCAATAACAATCTTATAAAGTAAATGTTTGTGTCAATTTTCCCTTTGCATATATAAATATGCTATTCCTTCCTTCCTTCAAAACAAGAGCCAGCATTCTGGTGCAAATATAAAAATATATATATTTCTAAATCTCTAAAATTAAACTAAATTCTGTCACCAGCCAGTATCCTGAAATGGTTGCTGTATTGTTAGCCTTAAAATCAGCTATAAAAACGAATGGGTCAACTTTCATATTATGTACAAATTCAAAGGAGTAGTTGCTTGTTTTATCTTCATACCTGTCATAACAATAAATTCTAAAACGCTAAAAGAAAACAAAGCAGACATTTTAAATTAACTCAATTTGTTCAAAACAAATAAATGAACCATTTATTTAAAAAATAGAGGAAAAAACACACATGCAAATAAACCAAATTGTCTAAACAATAAAAAAAACGAACACACTTGCCAAACAAACAGTGCACTAAACAGCGTGACAAGTGAAAATATTAACTCACGCTCAATCATGACATTTTCAGCTAAAATAAATGCTTTTTAAGAGTTTACCAACAGAAAACTAAAAGCAAAGCCTCTGTGAAAGAAAGAAAGAAAGAAAGAAAGAAAGAAAGAAAGAAAGAAAGAAAACCTTCTTTGTTTTAATATTAAACAGTACAAAAGTTTAT